TATCGAAGCCCTCAATTTTTCTGGGATACCCATTGTTGTCACTGAGACAGGATGGCCTTGGCTTGGTGGAGCAAATGAACCTGACGCCACTGTTGAAAATGCTGAGGTCTTCAACAATAATTTGATCCGGCGAGTTGTAAATAATTCAGGCCCACCTAGTCAGCCGACTATACCCATTAACACCTACATTTATGAGCTGTTCAATGAAGACAAGAGACCTGGTCCGGTATCAGAGAAGAATTGGGGCATATTTTTTACTAATGAGACTGCTGTTTATACTTTAAGCCTGAGCTCTTCTGCCCGAATCAGTGGAAATTCTTCTACAACATTCTGTGTGGCAAAAGATGATGCAGATTCTGATAAATTGCAAGATGGGCTGAACTGGGCTTGCGGGCAAGGGCAGGCTAATTGTGCAGCCATCCAAGAGGGGAGGCCATGCTTCACTCCTGACACCCTCAAAAATCATGCGTCTTTTGCCTACAATGATTACTATCAAAAAATGCGTAGTGCTGGTGGTACATGTGACTTTGATGGTACAGCTACAACAACCACTATTGATCCTAGTAAGTATTCAAATCAACATCTTCTGTCATGGTTTCTGTGAACAGCTGCAAGCTGGTTATTTCAGCCTATGATGGTTTAAACTGATCCTAGATCTTATCATGAACTCATTTCAAAGAAGATCTTATCATGAACTCATAAACGTTTAGCAATTTTTGCATGATTCTGACATATCACCCTAGTCCTTTTGGAGTCAATTGTCAAAAATTGTATTGCAATAAATTTGAGGGATTGTGCTAATATCTACTCAAGAATATAAACAAGATTGTTAATATCTACTCTAGAATATACACAACAATGTTGATATCTATAACTTCCATGTTATTCAATATATTTTTGCTCATTATATGCTCCTAATGATTTTATGGCATATATCTATTGCAGGTTATGGATCTTGTATATTTACTGGAAGGTGAGAATTTGTCTTCACTTATGATTGATCTGTTATAATAATAAAACAGGAAGAGTCATTTGTTCACATACTTGATTTTTTGGTGGTTTAAATGAAGCAGCTCTAATTCAAGCACAGGTCGAGTTCCAGCACCTGGTGCCTTTGCACCTGTAAGTCCTATAGGAGGAAGTACCAACCGACTTGTCGCCAAACATCATTTTCTAGCATTGCTTACATCTCTTTCTCTAATGTTACTTTCAATGTGGAGGTAACTTTGAGCTTGTGGATGGTAAGCTTTTGAAAACATGCAGAAAGAGCTAGTAGGATCGAAGTCATGGAAACACGGGGGGGGCTTGAGAACAATCAGAAACAAAGCGAGAACATTGGAAGAAGTCACCTCTCCTCTGTTTAACATCTTCCTCTTCTGTTAAAGGGTGTTTTCAGTGTTCATTGTAACTAGAGTCCCAGATCTAGATCTTGATTTTTTAGACAACATTTTCAGGATTTGAGTTTTTTGATCTTCAACAATGGAAATGTGATTAAGTTCACCATTGTGTTATTTTGCTCTGTGTTGTCAGGCTAGCAGTGAAAAAAGCCTGCTATTTTAATCTTTTCCCCCCCTCAAATAAGATTCTATAAAAGAAATATAATATTAGTATAAAACATGAGTTGTGCTAGGGGAAAAATTATCAACAGCTATAGTAAAATTTATTGTATTTTTTAAATTATGTGCAAATATTA